TCGGAAACATCTGAGCGAAACAGGCACGAGCTGGAGAGGAACGCCAGCGGGAGGACGATGGGCAGGAAAACAGGCCGAGTTCAGAGGTGTGTCAGCGAACCCGGTGAGACAGACGCTGGCGGCGTGAGCTGTGTGGAAAAGGGTGTCATTCCTATTTCTTAAGTCAGACAGCACAGCAGAAGGGCTGGTTTGGGGACCAGGGCACCAAGGTCACGTTGGCGCACGCTGAATTTCAGACCGCCTGCGGGGTGTGCGGGTGGAGACGCACAGCAACCAGCCGGACACCCAGGTCTTACACGGGAAAGCGGTCTGGGCTGGAGACACGGAGCTGTGCCCGCACGAGGCAGTGGGAAGGAGGGGGAGGGAGCCAACATCGAGGGGAGTAGGGAGACGGGCTACCGAGCTTGAAAACACAGGAAACACTACCTACTGTTTTCAGATCATGAAGTGTAGAAAATAAAACTCAGTAAATCCTCAATCTCATTTGTATCAACGACTCTCAGTGAGGGGTTGGGAGGGAAGAGCTCTGTACCCCGCATCACCATCCCCACCCCAAGCATGACCACCAGAGTAAGAGGCAGAGGAGTATTTATTTCTCAGAAGGAGACATGATATGAAAAAGAAATAAATTAGAATTCGGGGCAACATGAACATTTCAGGGGTGGCCGAAAGGTGAGAAGCCGGCAGAGGACAGCGGCAGCTGAAAGCTGGGAGGAGACCCGGACGGAGGGTGCCCAGAGCCAGGCAGGGGCCCGAGTGTGGGCGGAACACCTGAGAGGGAAAGCGCCAGGGTCCCCCACGCGGCCACAGAGCTCGGGTGAGTTGGGACAGCGGGTCTGCTCCTTCACACCGGAGCACGGTTTGCAGGGAGGGAGGGCAGAGGCCGGGGCGGAGCAGCGGGGCCGAGCACTGACCTGCTCTGTTCTGTGTCTGCGCACAGCCGGAGAGGCTCGAGCATTTGCACACATAGTTGAGAAAAAGCCAGTGAGATATAAAGAAACACAGAGCAAGGGATAAGTTATGGAGTAAACTTCCAAAACAGAAGGGGGAGGACAGAGCAACTGAGTGTCCAAAGGTAAGCTTTAAAAAGCCTCAGAACTGCCACGGTAGGGTGCAGACCGAGAAGTCACAGGTTTGACTCCAGGTGGGAGCACACACCTAGGCTGAGTGTGCAATTCCCGGTCCAGGTGCGCACGAGCAGGTGACTGATCGATGTTTTTCCCTCCCAGCCTCCCAGCCTCCTCTCTAAAATCAGTAACATATCCTCAAGTGAGGGTTATAAAATAAAATAAAATAAGATAAAGTAACATAATAAAAAATACATATATAGTCATTTATACCACCAACCTCAGACATACTAATTTAGAATGCCATGATAATGGGAGAAAACACAATAAAGATAAAATAAATAAAATAAAGTAAAATAATAGAACATCGTACCTATGTTATATTCCTTACCTACCCCTTAGAACCGTAAGAGAAACACATTACAATTTAACACGTTCAATTAAATTAATTCAGAAAGCCCTTTGTTTTTAGGCCACTTCTCCCCACTATAATAAAATCATAATGTAACAAGATTGTTTACTACTCCAGTAATATGGAGTTGAACAGATCTGTAATCCTGGTTTGCAACGAGAAAAATAAAAATATATCTCAGCCACAAATCAAAACTTGTAATTTTAAACATTAGCAAAGTTGTGTGGTTGCCAGACCTCTAGTCTCAAAACTCAGTGGTGGTCTGAGTAGGGAACTTTTTTTGAAGTTCCACAAATTAACATGAATCCAATAACTATTTCTTTAATCCATGCTTTATTAGCTCCTACAGAATTCTAAGACTTTCTCCAAAATGAAAGTAAAATTGAATAATTCTGATAAAACTGTGAAATCACAGTCCACTCCCCCAGCCGAGAAATGCAGGTGAGCAAGCTGTCATTTCTGAAGCTCACCGGTCTCTACCTGTTCCAACGCCGGGCGTCCCTTTCCAACTCAGACCCGCCCAGCCGAAACCCTGCCGCTCAACCCTAGCTGGTGCCGCGCGGCGGACTGCGGCTCGGGCCTGTGAACTTAGAGGTCACCGGTTCGATTCCCATCAGGGCACACGCCTGGGTTGCAGGGCAGGTCCCCACTTGGGGGTGTGTGAGAGGGAACCAATCAATTGATGTCTCTCTTGCACATGATGTTTCTCTCCCCTCCTCTCCTTCCCTTCCCGTCTCTCTAAAAATAAAGCCCGAAGAGTTGCCAGGGAGCAGTTTCTCAATCTGCTGAAACTTTGGCTTCCCCACAATTGTTGTCAATTTGGCCTGAATAAACTCATAAAAATTTTAAAAATCAATCAATCAACCAATCAATCAAAAAAGAGCTGCCCAGAAATGCTCTCACTCATTGGCTGGCACTGACTCTCCCCACAGACAAACGCAGACTGACTTTCGAAATGGATCCCTCGGGCTCCCGGACGGGGCGACAGCTGGTGTCACAGGGAGGCCCAGTTCGGCCACTGCTGCACTCCCAGGTCTGGGCCAGCGGGGAATGAAAGCACTTGTCGACACAAAAACCTGCACGTGAGTGCTCACAGCAGCACTGTACGTGTAAAAGCCAAGACACGGAAACTACTGCCCATCAGCTGATGGGCACAAAAACGCAGTAGCTTCATACAGGGGAAGAGCATGTGGCCAGGAAACGAGAGGAAGTGGACGCACACCACAGCCAGGCTGAGGCCCTGGGCCACGGCGCACACGCCTGGGTCGCCAGCCAGGTCCCCAGTTGGGGGGGCGAGCCAACAGATATTTCTCTCCCTTTCTCTCTCCCTCCCTTCCCCTTTCTGTAAAAATAAATAAAAAGAAAATCTTAAAAAATTATGCTAAGTAAACAAGTAACAAAGTCCACACATGATATAACTCCCTTTATAAGAAACGTCCTTCTGGAATCGGGGGCTCTGCTGAGACTGGGGTACCACGAGGGCTGCCCAGGCTGGGAAGTGGGGAGGCGGGGGGTCTAGGAGAGCTGCTAAGGGGGCTGGGTTTCCCTTTGGGTGGTAAGAATTGGGGTGACGGTTGTGCACTCGGGGAAAGAACTAAAAACCACTAAATTGTGCAACTGGTGAGTTGTGTATGTTAATTATATCTCAATAAGGCTGTTAAAAAATAGTTTTGACAACTCTAATATACATTAAGAACTCTTAGTGACCAATTACTTGGAATAATATATAAGTCAAAGTCATGCTTAAAAAACAGTGATAAAAACAGAACAGCACTACTGAATGATTGTTTAAAACTTGTTTTGTGCCCTGGCCGGGTGGGTCAGTGGGTTAAGGGGTTTGATTCCGGTCAGCGGGGAGCCCGAGGTGTGCGCTGGATCCCTGGTCCTGCGTGTACAGGAGGCAACTGATCGATGTTTCTCCTTCTTTTAAAAAAAAAAATCAGTAAACACAACCTCGGATGAGGAATAAAAAAACAAATAACTAAAACTTGTTTTGCGGGTCTAACTTATTGCGTAAGGAACACATTTTCTAGGGCGATGACTATCACTGCTGTAAATCACCGCCTGGGCATTTGGTAAATACTAGCCCACGGGCTCACCAGCTCATCTTGCCTGGACCTGAACTGGCCGGACTCACCCTCACAGAGCCTCCCACGGAGTTCAGCTACGAGGGTACAACCCTTCACAAGACAAGGAATCATTTGGGGGGCGGGGGCGGATGCTGGGAGCGGTCCGTGACCAAACACAGCAAAGGAGTTTGCAAACCCCGGACGGGCTGTCGTCAAGGGGGGCTGCTTCACCAGGCTGGACTGTTTCCACTTGGCAGGCGCACACGCGCAGTGGCTCCGCGGCCCCCCTCCACCAGCCTTCGCTCAGTTTTCCGGGAAACCAGAAGAGAGAGGCACCACGAGGGTGTGGCCGCGGGACGAGTTGGGGCAGAGAGAACAGGCCGGTTCACGAGCAGCCTCAGGGGAGCCTGGCGGACGATCGCACTCGGCTTCCAGGCTGGTTTGCTCGACAGCCCACGGGGCGGGGGCGGGGGGTTACCGCCTACAGGCGGAGACGGCGGGATCGGCCGGGGCGAACGCGCTCTCGTGCTGGAGGGCCAAGGCTGGAGACAGCGCGCCAGGCCGGCGGGTCTCACCTGAGGTCCGAGCCTCGGCTCGGAAGCCTAAGCCAGAGCGGAGCGGAGAGTCCCCCTGGAGCGGCGAGAGGACAGGGGGCTAGGAGGCGTGGACCCGGGGCAGTGTGTGACAGCAATCGTTATCATCATCACCGTCCTCATCGTCAGTGTCCGCACGTCAGTGCGGAGAGGACGAACGACTCCAACGACCAGGGCCCGCAGGGCTGGCCCGGAACGGCTCTGAACCAACTCCGGCTTCTGACAGAAGACCTGTGTTTCGGGGTGAGGGCCCCCCGCCGGTCGCCACCCGCCACCCGCCACCCGCTCAGGAAGCCCCGCTCCGCGCGCGATCGCGGCGGGACCTGGCCGGACAAGACCAGCTTCGAGAACGCTCGGGCGACACCCACGGACACTCCCGCGTCCTCGGAACCACTGAGCAGCCGGAGATCCGGCACCGTCTCCGGACACCTTCCCATCCCGTGAAAGCCGCCGGCGGAGCGGGTCGAGATCCCGCTGCGCGCGCCCGGAACCCCACTCCCCTCACCTGGCCCTGGCCCAGAGGAGGTGGGAGAGGCGGCGGCGGCGGCGGCACTTGTCTCCCACAGCGTCCTTCGTCCAGAGGCGCGGGCGGCTACGACCCGCGGCCCTAATCTACCGCCGCCGCCATGTTAGGGGGTTAGGTCACCGCCGGCGTGCTTCCGTCACTGCCGGCGTCGCAGCGGGGGGGAGGGGTCGCCCTAGGGCACCGGAAAAGGCGGGTTTCCCGAACGGAAGTACGAGCCATAGAGGTCTGGAGATCTCTTCGCACAGATGTGACCCGGAAGAGCCGGCCTTTCCCGGCCTCTCTTCCCTGGTATGGCTCAACTCTATGATTTCTGGGATTGGCCGAAGTGTCTGGCAGCGCTGGAAGGAGGGTAGGGTGCCCTCCCTCTGTGCCGAGAGAGGCTGGCGACTCCCGCGGCGGTAGCGTTGCTGCGTTCGCAGAACACGTTCCGATCCACAGACAGGCGTGTTCGAGAAGTGTCAAGAGAGCCGCGGAGCTGGCGGCCAGTGGTTGGAGAAGCACCCTTGAAAGCTGGGATTTCTGGGGTGGAGGTGGCGTGGCGTAGAGAGCCCGTTCTCGGGGCGGGGGCGGGGAGACCCTGCTGGAGCAGAGGCCCTGTGGCCCTGTGGAGCTGCCTGTGTAATCTGTTTTGTTCACAGCACCTAGCGTTGGACCTGAAATACACTGTTATGGGAGGTCTGCCGGAACCCAGCGTCCTTTGCGGGATTAGTCGAGAAGGTGTAATACCCAAACCATGCCAAAGCTAACCTCAGGACTGGGTGCCGTGACTAACGACCCCCTGCGCGGTGCCTGCCAATCAGTGGAGACCATGACCTTGAAAGGGCACCTCTGGAAAGCTTATGAGAAGTCTATTGTATCCTCCCAAACCTCTCCTAAAATCCCCGCTTAATAAAACATAAAAATTCATAGGACAACGGACCCAGTTGTGTCTGTCAAAAATCAACGAACATATCCTTGCGTGAGGATTTTTTTAAAAATTAAGGAGGGAATGAAAGGAAGACTATATGATCGTGGAAGAAAGCGAAGTAGAGATTGGATTACAGGATGGTTGGCAACATCATTCTCCCGAAGGTAGTTAGAATTTACTTCAAAGGTGTGTTAATGTGGATGCACAGAAACAATGGACAGGGCTTGCTAGGGGCTAAGATAATCCTTTAGTGAAGAAGTTTTATGCGTGGGGGCCTGACGACACATCATTTCCTGCCCAGTTAGGTTTATAATCAGATCACTTCCTGAGGTTAGTTTCCAGACACCCCCTTTTTTTCATCCACAGTACTTTTCTGTATTTTTTAATGTCTCAAAATTGCAATAAATGACAGAGATCAGCACACTGTTTTCAAAAAAACAAAAAACAAAAGCACATTGATCTTGACAGTGCCACGTCTGTTCCAAACATTAATTCCGTAACTGATTACACATGTGTCAGTAGATTGCTCTTTTCACTCTCCAACCCGTTATTTGCAGAACACTTAAAAATAAACGGTAGGACGGTCTGTAATAAAGAATTGAGTACCACCTCATGCTGACCTACGGATGACAGAGGGAGGCATAATCCTGGAAACGTCTCTCTGGGATGGTGAAGGGAAGTCATTCACACAAAAACTAGCAAGATGAGAGAAACAAACATCTGGCGTGGCTCAGTTCATGAGAATGCTGAACCAGATGAGGCCCACTTGGTGGGTTTCTGTTGCCCTGAAGTTCTACCAGCCTGTGGCTGAACCCTTCTCTCATGAAAACAGATTTATCAGGTAGGTGCACCCATCTGTCAAACACCACAAAGAACACCACCCACTTAGTAGAGCTGGAAGACAATTTGGTAACTTTAAAAATGTGCAGCATTGCCATGGAAAGGTGCCTCGACAGGTGCTTCAACCGAGGACAGGTACCACACACGCAGCACTCCCTGCGTGCGTGACCTGAACCTAAGGAAGAGGAAACTGTCCGACAGCACTGGCCTCTTCTGATGTCTGGTTCACTTCAAAAATCACTACCGGGCCCTGGGTGGCGTAGCTCAGTGGATTGAGCTTGGGCTGCGAGCCAAAGCATTGCAGGTTCAATTCCCAGTCAGGGCACATGCCTGGGTTGCAGGCCATGGCCCCCAGCAACCACACACTGATGTTTCTCTCTCTCTCTTTCTGTCTCCCTCCCTTCCCTCTCTAAAAATAAATAAATAAAATCTTTTAAAAAATCACTACTGGGAAACAAAGTCAAGGAACTAACTCTTCCATATTAAAGGAGACTAAAAAGACATCTTGGATTAGATTCTGAATTTTAAAAATTGCTACAAAGGATATTGGTGGGGCGTGGATTACTGGGAGTATGGACCTGTTAAACTTCCTGAATTTGATTATGCACACCCTTATTTTTAAACATTGAACTATTTAGAGTCATAATACATAAAGATGCGTACACACTCAGATGTTACTTGACTTAAAATGGAGTTGCATTCTGATAAACCCATCGTAAGTTGAAAATGCATTTATTGTACTACATCTAACCCACCAAATGTCATAGTTTATGCTAGCCTACCTCGAATGTGCAGCTGGGCAATTATCTTGAGTTCCATGTCAAGAGTAGTTGCCCTTTCTCTTCTCACTGGAAGCAGGAGACATGAGGGGAATTTTGTAAACATATGCGATGCTAATGCTCAAAACACAGTAAACCGTAGAGAATTGATTGTTTACCCTAGTGATCTCACAGCTGAGTGAGAGGAGGGACTCGCTGCTATGGCCCAGCATCACGGGAGCGTACAGATCATGTATTGCATATGGCTAGACTGGGAAAAGATCAAAATTCAAAAAGTACAGTTTCTACTGAAAGCATATTGTTTTCACCTTATCGTAAAGTTAAAAAAGAAAAAAAAAACACTTAAGGCCAGCCCTAGCTGGGTAGCTCAGTTGGTTAGAGTGTCATCCTGATGCACCGAGGTTGTGGGTTTGATACCAAGCCGGCACATACAAGAATCAACCAATGAACGCATGAATAAGTGGAACAACAAATCGATGTTTTGTTCCCTCTCTCTTTAAAATCCAATAAACTTTTTTTAAAAAATCTTAAGTCTAACCATTATAACTTGAGAGCTGTCTGTATGGACAGTGATAAAGCAAACAGCATTAGATTAACAGTTGGTGGAACCAGGTCTAGGTAATGGGAATTCATTGTACTATTCTTACAACTTATTATATTTGAAATTTCTTCAAAATTAAAACCTAGTATTAAGAATGTGTGAACCCTTTAACCCACAATTCTACTAATAGGAGTCTATCCTAAAAATAAAGCTTTCCAGCCTTTGCCTTTATAGCTAGGGAGAAAAAAATGGGGTTTGAAGTAAACCCATCTGTAGTAATTTCTGCCCTAATTTTCTGAATAATTCCCTCCAACTGGTTTCTGGGAGCAATGTTAAAAAATGCACAGACCCGTTCAGAAGAATTCCAAATAATTTATGTAGCTACTGCACCCTAAGCGAGATGGAGCACAGCTCCCCAGTCCTTAAGTAATTCCTTCTCAGAGGACAGGATGGGAGTGAGAAACCTGACACCGTCCTTCAGCCAGCCCGTCAAGGTCAACACCAAGAGCCAAAAAGGATGTCGACAGCAGGAATCGCTAGCCTGACCTGATGGCACTTGACGTCTGCGACATTCCTACGAAAAACCTGAAACTCCCAACCGATCATGACAAATTTCCAGCCGAGGTGCATCCTGCAACATACTTAACCAGACCTACCAACACGGTCAAGATCCTCCGATTCCTCCAGAAACTGTCACAGCCGCGAGGACACCTGGGAGACGAGACAACTAAGTGAAATGTGTCGCGGGTGGGACCCTGGGACACAAAAAGAGCATTCGGTTAAAACTAAGGAAACCCAAATAAATCATCGACGTTAGTTAATACACCAATATTGATGAACTCACTGTAACAAATGTATTGCGCTAAGAAGTTAACAATTGGAGAAACTGGAAAAAAATAACATAAAACCTCAGAGTTGCCGTCAAGAAAACGATAAGGGAAACTGTGAGAGGGACAAAAGTATCTGATAACCCTCTGCGCTACTGCTTCTTTGTAAACTTGAAATTGTTCTAAGAATAAAGTCTATTAATGAATCAAAGATTATTGAGTTTGCTGTTTCCATTAAGCCCATGTCAATAAAACACTAAATTCTGGATTTGTCTAAATAAAATATTTAAGCTTCGGACTGGAGAAATCCACGCAGCTCCAATAACTTCGGATGCCAGAACCCCTGACCTTCCGTCTGTTTCAGCGAAAAGGAGGCTGTTGAGGAAAACAGCGACGACAAATTTTTTGCAAATGAAATAAACGGACTCGTGCCGGATCACTCGCGCATGCGCACTTGCGCTAGCCTGGAGGCGGCGGGGGGCGGGGAGACACGGGACCTCCCCGAGCCTACTCTCTTCTCATTGGGTGAAGATGTGCACGTGTCTCGGCCTCGCGATCACGTGACAGGAACAGGAAGCTGGGGTTATAAGGCTAAGGAAAGCGGAACCTGCGCTGGCTTTTCTCCTCTCTTCGTCTCCTTCGGGCGTAAACTCGAGCTCGTCGCGCAGCTGCCCAGCCTCGCCGTCGCCATGGCCCTCAGCGATGCAGACGTGCAGAAGCAGGTGGGGGGCTGGGCGTGGGCCCCGCGATGGCGCGGCGCCCGTCCGAGGCTGGGCCGAGCCAGGCGGCGGGAGGGTGGGCGGGCGCGGCCTCCGGCAGCCCGGGTGCCCAGGAGCGTCCCCGGCCCCCGGGTCCCGTGACCTGACGGTTTGTCTGCGGGAGGGAGTCCTGCCGACCCGGGAGGAGCCCCACTGCTCCTGTGACGGGTGCCCAGTCTCGCGCTCCGCCTGCGTGGCCTCTCGGCCTCCCACTCGGGTCCCCGCTCCCCGGGCCCTTGTGCCTGGTGGCGCAGAGCGTGGCAAACACGGAGGGAAAGGCAAGGGGAAAGCGAGGCTGAGGACGCCCTCTTTTTTGGGCTCCAACCCTGGCGATGGCGACAGCGGAGAGCCGCTCCCGCGGGCGTGGTTCTGACGCCGCCCACTTGACTGTCGCCTTCACCTTGGAGGGGTCGGTCCGCGAGGCGGTGCGTTCGCGTCTGTGCGGAGCTTAGCTCTCCTCCTCACCCGCAGGAGCCCAGCAGTGTTCGGCACGAAGTAGTGAGCCAAGGAAAATTGTTGCCAAGGTTGTGAACGAATGTCCGTTTTGCAAGCGAATAATCAGTCCTAGACAACTGTTTTGTTTTGTTAAGAAATGAGCCATACCTTCACGTCTGTAGGCAGTAGGGCCGTTAAACTGCCGAAGTCTCTCCGCAGAACATGTCCGACTGAGAGAGATTCTGAAACCAGGGTCCTCGGGTTTAGGGGTCACGTTGCCAATGGGTTTTATAAAGAAGGGGTTTAAGCCCTGGCAGTGGATTGAGCACGGGCTGCGAACCAAAATGTCGCAGGTTCGATTCCCAGCCAGGGCACATGCCTGGGTTGCAGGCCATGACCCCCAGCAACCGCACATTGATGTTTCTCTCTATCTCCCTCCCTTCCCTCTCTAAAATATATAAATAAAATCTTAAAAAAAAGGGGGGGGTTAACACTGCAGTTTAATCTCCGCCTGATTTGGAGAACGAAGTGCCCTTCTTTTAGAGGCAGTAGGAAAATTCTGTGACTAAAGCTCACTCGCTGGGTTACGGATATTTTTTGATGAGCAATACAGTGGTTTTTTTTTTTTTTTTTTTCCCCCTTAGGATGTTTCCATTTCCTTGAAAATACCTTTGAATTTTAGTCTTAACCTAACATGCACTGAGAAGAGTGGGGCGTTTCTTCTCCATTTCGGGGGTTCTTATGCTGATCGCAAAGGGAAAGGGTAGCAAAAATGGCCCCTGGAGAATTTCAGGAAAGCTTTCAATAGTCTTACAAAACAGTGGGCT